GGAGAAGGAGGAGGAGGGGGAGAGGGAAGGGGAATGGGGAGGACTTGGAGGACAGAGGGATGGAGTGATGGACCCCCTCAGGCTTGCTGGGACCCTCTGGACGTCCGCTGCATTTGGCCTGCCTCGGGCCCCGCCGGGACATTCCGCGGGCCGACATGGCCATCGCGTCTTCGCCCTGGTGCCGGGCCCGGGGCCCGCCCCGGGCTCGACCCAGCTGGTAGTCCTGAGGTAGACGGGTCCTAAGGTTTCTCTCCGTTTCTGGCCCTCCGTGGCCCTCCTCGGGCTGCGGGGGCCTGCCCCGTGGTCCATGACCCGCTTCCCTGAGGACCCGTTTGCCCCATGCTGGAGGGGCGGGGTCGAGGGCTCTCGAGGGCCGATCCGTGCCGAGGGCTGCGACGGCGGGCCTGGGCAGCTCAGCTCGCGGGGCGTCCGAGGCCGGCATGCCTCTCTGGCGAGCCCCTGGCGTGCCCAGAGATATCCGCTCCCCTGGGTCGGGGGTGCGCCGATGGGGCCAAGGATTAAATGTTTGAGCTCTGAGATCTGGGCGCTGCGATGTTTTCACCCCGGGCGTTCTCGCCCGGCTTCGGGCCCTGGGACCCTCACTCAAAGGTCGATCCAGCTTGAGAAGTGCCACAGACAGATCTGGCCCAGGGTTCTGGTCGTGATTTCTCATCAAGGCGTTTGTTCGCGACGTTGGATCTCAGGGTGTGTGTGTGTGTGTGTAGTCCGACCGCTGGTGCAGCAATTTTGCCTCCCCAGATTTTATGGCCTCTTCTTCTGCCAGCACGACCCCAGCCCAGGCCCCCCCCCCCCTGGTCCGCGCACGTGTCCCGCGCGCCAAGGAGGGGGGTCCAGTGCGGATCCCAGACATCCGCGCGGAGCGCCAAACGTTTATGTTTTCTGCAGTTTTTGTTTCTTCTTCTTCTTCTTCTTGTTCTTCTTCTTCCTCTATTAACTGCTCTCCCTTGTCGTCCGACTAGATGGGGTCCTTCGCCCGGCACCAGGGCCGCCCAGGAACGGCTCGGGGTGACATGCGGTGACATGCTGCCCCTGAGGAGGGCCTGGACCTCGTGGGTGGACCCCGCATATCGAGCAGAACCAGTCTGGTCTGACGGCGCCACACGCACGACTGCACTCGGCGTCGCCCCAAAATGCTGATGCTGTGTGCGCGTCGCCCCCCCCCCCCCCCCACAGGGGCGACGCGCTCGCCGAGAAACCGCAGTATGCGCGTCGTGGCTGGCGCTTTCTGGCCGTAGGGCGCGGGCGCTTTCTGGCCCGCAGCGCTCGGGAAGCGACGTACTACAGGATGGTGATGCTGTATGTTTGGTTCGGATGTCTGCCTCCTCTCGGCCTCGCTCTGAGGCTCCGCCGCTCCCTCCCTCCTCTTCTCTGCCTGATTCAAACTTCGCGCGGCCCGCTTAGCTTCGACCGGCAGAGGTGCGCTCTCGACCCGCGGATCAAACATGTTTTGGCGGGCTGCGCGCCTCCGAGGAGGCTGCACAGCACTGGCGTGCCCCGGCGCGCCCCGTGCGCACCGATCCCGGCCTCGACCCCCTCTCGGGGCCCAGACAGGGGCAGAGCCGCCCTCTCCCGGCCCTCCGCGGGAGGCACCCGTGGCCGATCCTGGGCCCGGGGCTGGCCCCTCGCGGGGCCCTGGCGCAGCAGGGGCTCGGGTGCTGTCAGGAGTGCCCTCCTCCGCCTCCTCCTGCTCCTCCTCCGCCTCCTCCTCCTCCTCCTCCGCCTCCTTCTCCTCCTCCTCCTCCTCCTCCTCCTTCTCTTCCTCCTCCGCCTCTTCCTCCTCCTCCTCCTCCTCCTCCTCCTCCTCCTCCTCCTCCTCCTCCTCCTCCTCCTCCTCCTCCTCCTCCTCCTCCTCCTCCACCTCCTCCTCCTCCTCCTCCACCTCCTCCTCCTCCTCCTCCTCCTCCCCCAGGGTTCCCGAGGAGGCCTCCGCGGCCTCCAGAGCACGTCTCCAGGAGGCCCAGAGCCCAGGGGGCCCCAGGGGCTCGCCAACAGGGAGCGACACGCGGGGGGCACCTTGGGCCAGGGACACCTCCCACCCCCCCCCGAGAGGTGTATACAGTTGGCCGCCCTCCGACCAAGACCTCGGATCTCAGGGCCGTGTGCTGCCTTCCGGAGCTCCGCTCCTCCCTCGCTCCGCGCGTATTTCGGCGGTGCGCCCATGGGGGGGAGCGAGAGGGAGCGGGGCCTGCTCAGAAGGCTCGGACGTCCTCTGCCCTTCCTGGGAAGCTCTCTGGTTGCCCGAAGGCGCAGAGCATTTCTCAGAAGGCCAGATGGCTTCTTAGAGGCCCCGCCGCTTTCGAATCGGGGCTAAGAGAGGGGGGTCCATGCAAACGGGAGTCAGTCAGAGCGCTGGATCTTGCAGGACCCTGCCGAGCCAGGGTTGCCTTGACCCGGGTTTGGGTGCAGGATCTTGCAAAGCCTGATTGACCCTGGTTTGCGTTGGCCCGGGCCAGTGGGTCCCCGACCCGCCGCACTCTGGGAGGGCCTCCACTATACCTCTCTCCGCTCGCCTTCGTGTCGGGCAGGGAATGCCGGCGCCGCAGCGCGCGCAGGAGGCGGCCGCCGAGAGGGCCGCGAGGAGGGCGGCCGCGAGGCAGGCGGCGGAGGAGGCCGTGGCGGCAGAGGAGGCCGCGGCTCAGCAGGCCACAGGGATCTGGGGTACAGTCGGGGCCCTGAAGAAGGAACCCTTTTCGTTGGGGAGGGGCTCCGTGTTCCTAAGTGTTTCACAGCTTGCCTCAGGTTTTCCTTATGTTTTCGATCGGACATCGCAGTTTAACTTGTGGAAAAAAGGGGCCTCGTTCCTTATTTAGGGTTCCTTAGGTCAACGCCCCGTCTGTAGCGGCAGGGGGGGGGGGACGGGCGCCGGGGGGACCTCGCCGAGGGCGTTCCGGGGGGGTGCCCAGCTCGTTCCAGACGGCCGCAGGGGGAGCTGAGTTGTGAGCCCACAGCCAAGGGGCAGCCATTTGGGGGAGGGGCACATGGGGGGGGGGAATTGGCCCCCAATCGACCATTGATCGCCGAAGGGGTTCTGATAGCCCCGCCCCGGCCCAGGAAGGCGCGGCTTCGCTATCGGGGGCCCGTCGCCGATCTCTCGGCGATGCATGGCCGATTCCAGGTCGATGCAACCCCCCCTGTGCCAGCCCCCCCCCCTGTCGTTCGCTGTCCCTCATGGGGGCCGTTTGGGCAGGTGGGCGATTGGGGGGCTGTGGTTCGGGGAGGGAGCCAGGCGTGCTCGCGTCGTTACAGAAGTCACGACGGAAGGGTTTTGGCAGTGTTCTGCCTCTGGGGGCCCTCAAACACCGACTCGGGATGAAAGCCGGCCCTGGGGACAGGGTCGGGACTTGTGGGGACCGTGCGTTGAACATGTATCGGAGGTGGATAGACCTCCTACCCTGACACGTCGATTCAGGAATTTGCCGTTTTCTGTTCGCGAGAGGGCGTCGCGGCCGTCATTTTTGCGGGTCCAGGTCCGTCGGTTTCGGTCCCAGGCCGTTTTCACTAAGGGGAGGTTTACTAAAGGGAGGTTTGTCCACCGCCGAATGTAAAGACAGGGTATGTCTGGGGCATCAGTCTGGAGATTTTTTTGAACCCTCGGGGCCATCACGCGCGTTATGCCCCCCCTTTTCCCATAACGTAAAGCTCTTCCCCCAAGTGCTCGGCAACGCGCTGAGGGGGGTAGGGGGAGGGGGGAAGGCTTCGTAGAAGCACCCCTGCTTCTTAGAAGGCGCGGGCCTTCTCTATAGACATAAGGCCGAGGCCTTCTAAGAAGCAGGGTGCTTCTAAGAAGCCTTCCCCCCTCCCCCTACCCCCTTTTGCGCGCCGCCAAAGTGCGTCCCCAGCACTGCCGCAGCGCGTCCAGTACCGCAGTCTGTCACGATGGGGGGCGGGGGCGCTACGTCATGCCCCCCCTCCCCGCCCACCCCCGTCTCCCCCCCCAGAACGCCCGTGATAGCCGCGGATAAGACATGCCCTCCTGGGGCTGCCAGACGTCGAGGAAGCGCACACACTGACTGACAGGCGCGTGGACTCGCGACGGGTCTCGTT